CATACATGTAAAACGTGTCGAGCCTGAAAGTTGACCCCTGGTGGCGCGCTTCAGGGCCCCTCGAAAAGGAAAATTAACTTGTTATAAAAGTTTTTAAATTAGTTTTGGTACATTGCAATAGATTTCTTAACCCTGCGCAGCGTTTACAAAAAACTTTGCAACAACTCTTCAACTGCAGCTGCCCTTTGGGCAGCAGGTACTTTCCCGCACTACGCAAGACCCTATTCATAGCAATACAACAAAAAGCCACGTGCCAGACAGTGTCCAGACAGTTGCCAGACAGTGCGCTGGAAAGATAATTGACTGGCGGCTGTGGTATGCAGTTATGAAGGGAGATGACTGTGTCAAGTTACAGGTCTTTGTTGATGTTTCAATGAGACTTGGCAGGAGGCCTGGTCGAAAGTTTGTTGACACGGCCTGGGTGTAGCCCTGGCTGCAAAGTTCATTGAACCAGCTGATTTGGCAAGGGTTGAATGAGGATTAGATAGGAGGTGAACGTTATTGGCCCTAAAAAAAAAAATGTATTCAAAAAATTCGGTTACCTGGGGCCCAAAGGGCAGCAGGTCACTCTGCGCAAGGTTAAGACAATCACCCTTGGAATCTAGTGGAAACTGAAAAATCGCATGACGTGCAAGAGAAATTTCGTGCCAAAAGTGACCTCTCGGCGCGCGTCCAAAAACATCCGTGTGGACTCATGGAACTCAATTACTTTAATTCAAGCATGACAATATATGAACTAATTTTATGGCAATCATATGGTAAAAACTTAAACTTAAATAGGAGACGAAAATGTCTTTTGGGATGAACAATTGGTTTGAATAAACTGGAAGGATTTATTTACAAACAAATCTAAAATGACCGTTGATAAGAAATGTATTAAAACGTGATCCAAACGAGCCTGAATAAATCTAGAATCCATCGGATCATGGTAAATCTTTGCGTCGTTATCATTTTTGTTCTCACGCAAGATTTCTCATCTATTCGGAGGCAATTTTGTCAGTGTTTAAGAAACACATCTACTAATGTAACCCTTTAAAACAGTTGATAAAATTGGACACAAATTAATACAGGTTTGCTTTCTGAATTTCATGATTTATTTCTTCCCGTCCTTTCATCTTTGCCGTATCCCAATAATTTTTGACTCGCCAGCCGGGCTACTTAAGGAATAGTTTGACTAGCCGGCCGCTGTTCTGGCTAGCATTTAGCTAGCGGGCTACCGCTAATTTCGAATCCTGCATCCATGTATCTACCCCTGGGTTTGATGTCTATCTGAGAATGTATATATTTAATCCATTTAATAAATATTCTCTTATTCTTGCTGGATGTAATTATTTTTTTCTCTCGGCAAAGAGTTATTATTACTATGGAGAGCTACTCGCCATACGCAAAGACGCTGATTTCCGCTCAATCCCGCTTATCATGCGAAATTACACTCAATCGGCCTTGACAATGACTGTAAGACTCAAATGAATTGAAAAGTCTGCGCCCTACGCTGAAGAATTAAATTAGGAGTTCGCTCTCTATAGTAATTAAACGAGCCCCGGCCCTTCATCCTGAGTGATCAATCATTCCATGCCAAGGAAATCGAACATAAACCACAGGTCTGACGAGCATTTTTGATTTCTTTTCGCGGTAGACTTTGGTTTTACTTATTTACATTGCATAAAGGTTCTTATCAATCGTTCCCTTTTTTTGCGTCTTGATTTAATTTTTTATACAATTTTGGATTAGTAGATCAGTGAGCATCATCGTTAATGCAATCATACAGTACATCCGTTTCTAAGAAGATGAACATCGCCGAGTGTGGTCGCTTGTTTTCACAGCAAATATTCATGATGGTGACCGGGGGAGGGAAGATAAATCCTATTTAAATGGTCCCTGGGGACATATTATTTTCAACATCGTTTCCAATAGTTTAGAACCGGGGAGGGAAACTTGCTTCCTTTATCAGGATACGATACCGCAATAACAAGTACAGGATTGATATCGTGTACTTCGTGATGTGATGTGAACGTTTATTCTGACTTATTATTAGGCCTACGTCCAAGCCATAAAAATCCTCCCTTTCAGATTATCATGCCTTTAAGAGAATAAATGTGCGCTTGACCGGTTTTAAACAAGTCCGTTTAAAACAAGTTGCGGCAATGGCCGCTAATAATAACCCGAGCCGAAGGCGAGGGATATTACTGGCGACCAGGCCCCAGCCGGTCTTAAACAGACTTGTTTAATACCGGCCAAACACATCTCCATTCATAAATACCTTTTCCGTCTAAAAGTCAACACAAGTAAAAAATTTATATATATACATTTTCAACGATTTTGCTCAACAATTTAATTTCACGTTTTTTGAAAAACCCCTATAGCGATGTTATGGAATGGGCCGCTCGCGAGTAGTCGTAAGTAATTCCTTACATGGAGATTGGCGCGCGCGTGACGCTTACTGCCCGATGTGGCACAGAGCGCAGCTGTGCCGGTGTAGTGTGAACTTAGGACAATGAAATACTGAGTCATTGAAAATATTGCGAATGCCTAAGTGAGGATTGTGAACGTTCAACAAATAAATGGGTAAAGGGACCAGATTTCATAGGAGTGGACACTATCTATCTATAGGGGGCGTTGTTCAAAGCAGACTGTTATCTACAGTATCGGACGCAGGATTTTTCCGGCAGGACGGTTTTGCTCCACAACGGTTAGCGACGCCCGCCGCATGTTGAGCGGAATAAAGTACTGACGTCAACATCAATAAAAACGGGTTCGGCCGTGCGTTTTGCACCCGCAAACGTGGCGTTATAGAGTGCAGTGCCCGTATAACAGCTCGCCATATCTAAACCTCACCGTTGCGCATCCGCCCCTTCAAAAAATGGTCGAGGCCCACCTTAACGTTGCGCGATCTTCCCCCTTGAAGAAATGGTGGAGCCCATATAGCAAACCACCATTTCCAGGTGTGTTAACCCGTACCCATGGCGCCGTATAGAGTGCAGTGCCCGTTGAAAATGTGCAGCAGTGCGTGGCCCGGTCTATATAGACGTTTAGCCTCTGGTATTGCTTCTTTTTGCAGGTTTTTTGAGATACGCTCATCCAAACAACTTAAAACTTGACATTGCACATTCTTGGGTCCTGAACAATACACCTACCGATTTTCAACTCATACAGTGCTCAGTTCTGGAGATACAGACAGACAGACACATGGCGATGAATTGTAGTAAGATATTGGGTACGTTCGAGTAGCTTCCCCGTGTATACCCGAGGTGTACACTCGAGGAATTAAGCACCGACATGAGGGTAATCGAACGCTGCGGTGTATTCGTCTGGCATTCTGGAAAAAATTAAGGCCAAAGGTTGCTTTATGGCGAGATTTTATATTGTAAACAAACCAGGTATGTTGTCTGTTCTACAGACTGACTGGTGGGCAAATCGAATGCTCTTGTGTAAGTTTTCACTTATACACGCGTAAGCTGCTCGAACGCGCCCATTGTAAGGTAAAAGTGACCAGATTAAATAAGAGTCCAAATTTCTCCCACTCTCTTTCGATTACTTGAGTGAATTCGGTGAATCAACACAATACCAGGGCGTAAACTCAAATTCCAACCAGTGGCATATCTTGTTCAGAGGACAACCTTTCTGTAGGGTAAGCACATACCTCCTTTACTAGGTTTCTTTGATACACTTGGTACCTTCGACATGACTTTGTAGGGCCTATAGCACAAAAGCGACGTGGAAGATTGAGAGACGCGCCAATTTGCAGTGATTATACGAAAATTGACCCTTTTCCCCCACTTAACGTTTTTTCATAAGCGGTTCAGCCCTTTTAATCCGTGCTAAATTGGGTCTGACATTTTACTTTATATAGGCCATGTGTGTGTGTGTATAGAGTGATTACGTGCCCAGATTCGTCTATATAATTACTGTGTGATATTTCAAGTAGTTGAGGGGCCATCTCGCTTATATTTTCCCAAACGGCCAATCTATCTTCCGTGTAACAATGTAACTATAACGGTAATTTATTGTGTATCCTGCAGGATGAAATAAAATACATGTGCGTCAAATAACAACGAAATTCTACGCAAAGATGCGGTAAAATCACGCTACATTGTAAACACATAGCATTTATCATGCATGAAGTGCTTAACAGCGTCGTTCAGTTATTGCTCTAAATTCAACATTTTAGTGGTGAATTTCGCATGCGGCCTTAATTAGATTATTTTTTCCTTCATTTCTACAACATTGTCCGTGTACATCACGAGGTAATTGGCGAGACTGCTATAAGCATGTTAAAAAAAACAATTCGCAGCGTAAGCGGAACTCATCACCGAGCGTGTGGGGGGGGGGGGGTCATTCCACCCCCCCCCCCCCAGCTCACGGGCCTGTACTCAAGTATTTTACAACTGATCTCTGAATGATAATAAATCCACCCAAAGCAAATTTGTTAAGTTTTCATCAATAGAAAAGACACGTACGAGGCCACGCTTTTCTTGAAAGAAATTTGCAGTCCTAGACGTGCACTTATCCGTGATATACTTACAAAGACATCGACATGCAAGGGCGGATCAAGAACACATTGGGGGGGGGGGGGGCAAAAGACATTTGGTCCCCAAAAAGTGGGTCCCAAAAATTACGGCGTGGGGTTCGGGGCCCGTTTAAGGACCACGAAACAATTTGGGATTCTAGATGCTCTGTGGTGCGATCTGAGGCAATTTCTGACCACTTTAACCAAATCTTTTTGAGATGGTGGTGTACGCAGTGCCTGCCTTTATTGCGACGTCACTTAGAAACAAAAAATGGGTTCTTTTTTGGGGGGGGGGCATGGCCCCCGTTGCCCCCCCCCCCCCGATCCGCCTTGTCGACATGGTAAATATGATGTCACATAGCATTAACTGACGAATAGTATGTGGTAAACTATTATTATTGCGGTATACGATGCTAAATTAGTCTACGATCGAGCATACAGCTATAGAGATGCTTGGTTGGAAATGTCTTGCAGACTAACGGTGAAGGTTGGTTTAGTAGGTAGCCCAGGTAGATGTATCAATCCGGTTAGTTTTACGCCCAAACATCTCTCTCAGACCTTTGCGAAACTGGCGATACTTGGCCACGTAGATGAACGGATTGACGCAGCAATTAGCGGCCACCATCGCTACAGACAGCAAGTAAAACCACTCGTTGAATTGCAGCGGATACAAACCAAGGTTGTAGGTGAGAAAGATCACCTGATTAGGAGTCCAGCAAACTAGGAACGTGATGAACACCGTCAAGAGTGTCTTGAAGGTGTTACGTCTCGCCTTGAGTAGGGACCCCATCATACCCGCCTCTAGAGATGGCTCGGCGGAGGTAGCGGCAGCTGCTTCGGGCGGTGCCGGTCCTACACGGGCCGCGCTCCGCTTCAGCTCCACACTGATGCGGATGTAGGCGAAGAGCATCACTCCGACGGGGAGAATATACTGAAAGAATGTAGTCAGGATCCCTACGACTTTAGATCCAGGGAGCGATTGGCACCTTCCATCTTGGATCTGGAAAATGGTCATGAGGTAGGGCTTGATGGCGGCCCCCACGAGCCAGCAGGAGACGATGACTGCTCCGACTTTCGCACGGGGATAATTCAGGAAGGTTGTCTGGTACCTGAACGGGTGGACGATGGCAAAGTACCGCTCCATGGTCACCGCCAGCAGGTTGAACGTCGATACCACGAAGATGAAAAACAGCGTGAAATTGGAGAGCCAGACGTGGCAGAGGAATCTCCCGAGAGCATTGTCCGGCAGGGGGTCGGGCATGGGTACCTCACTCTGTAGGAGAATCACAGTCGAGCCCAGGAGATCCACCACAGCTTGGTGGAAGATGAAGGCGTTGGTGCGAGTCTGCATCGAGGAGACTTTACCGATGACAGCACAGATGAGACCATTGCCCAGGATTCCAAGAATCCCCATAATTGTCTTAAAAATCCGCAAGGCAAGTATTTTCTCCATTTGTAATTTTCAGTCGCCAAAGCAAATAAAGAAAAGAGCAATGCGTAAAAGCAATCAACAAACACCACTATCGAGGCTCAGGCTTTACAGAAGCTGCTCCGAATAGCATTTGTCTGATTGTCAGTCCCTACCTTTTGGCTTTATTTGAACGAGTGACTGAAACACCAGAAAGCCCTGATTATGCGCGACAGCTCTTCAGTAACATGCAATGTAATGGTCAGTTCCGTTGATTCCTTATTGCCAGACCTGTGCGTGCGTGTCACGTGGGCTCCGGATGGGTAATAAAATGGTTTTGTGCTTTTCAATTTGTTTTCCGGGCAGTGCAATATGTAATGTTGCCACAATGGATCAAGTTAGTTGCGGTCGATGATTCGCTTGTTCTCTTTCTACCCTCATCTTTAGCTCATCCATCGCATTCTTGACTCGATATAAATAATATGACTGAATAAAAAGATTTCCAACACGGTTCAAGCAAGAAAAATAAAGCGGTCTGAATTTGTGCTTGCAGATTATTGGTGTTGCGAGCGCGCAGCCTTGACACTGTCGATTTGTATTATTGATGTTTGGAAAAGGGATGGCACTATCCCATTCAGTGACACTTCTTCTCTGCTGACTTGTATATGGCTTAATATGGATTTTAAGCATGACTTAGTCTTTGCTGGTTATGTCCGATTGAAATGTAGAGTGGGCGGACATAAGAGATTGAGTGACTATGATAGGTTGGGTAATCAAATGTGATTAAATGTGCGAGCAGAGGATTATGTTCGCAAATCCTCTTGTTAGCAATAGCATGCTTTCGTGCCTTGCTGTTGGCACTCTTCAGTTGCAAATAGGTGATTCAAAAAAGAATTGAAGCTGACTCGCGAAAAAGTTGTGGTTGGGATTGGTTATATTCCAATCATGTATCGTAAGTTTGGAGTGTTGGTAACAACCATATGACTTTAGTTGGTTTCAATTGTTCCTCTAGTAAGGAGAGCAATATGTTGAGGTTTTATCAGGTTCGGTTAGTTTTTCGAAAAAGCCGGAGTTTGTCGGGAGTGGGTTTAGCTCTTGATTTTGCTGTGGTAGTTTCTCCCATGATGTAGTTCCGATCGGAGATGAAGACGTCATCAGTTGACTCATCGTTCATTAATACATTATTTATAAGAACTTAAGACGGCAGATTGAGCAGTTTGCATCGCAACGTCTCAGCGAAAGGGTTAATATCTGTCTACGTTCGATGGAAAATAAACCTGTGAACATTTGTCCCTTATATACGCGTTTTCGTACTTAATCATCGTGAATAACATTAATTAAATTGGTATGTATATGAAAAGCTGTCGTCACCGGCTGAAGTAGGCATAATGCCGCGCTGCCGAACACGGAATGATTATTAAGCCAGTATTCATAAATACCTAAGACCGTTTACGCATTCCTATTGGTCGAGAGCCCTTCACGTGGCCGGTCTTAAACGGATGATAAAGACATGGGGGTTTACCAAACCTCGGCATAGGCTTCGTCTTCGGCTTCATCTCCATGCAGCCATTTTGAAGCCCGTACCAAATGAAGGCTCCGGCTTAGGCTTTATCATGCGGCTCCGTTTTGGGCCCAAAAAAATGGAGCCTGGCGAAGCCTGCCGAGGAGATGACTTCGTGAGGCTCCGTGACGTATCTGTCACGTGACAGACACAAAAAAATTATACAATTTTCATCTGCCTTTAATGGCGGACATCTTTTTTGCTCGCACAACATGACTCAAAGAATCTTTTCAAGAAAATGGAAGTTTCCAACCGAAAGTATTTCGGTGTAAAGGTAAGTTCATGAGTTCATGACATAATTTGGAAAAAGTCACGAACTGTATGTAGACTTTGTAGTGAAAGTATTGGCAGATAATGGATGATAATTCTTTGTCGCAGTGCTAACGCTACGCTGTGTACTCAAGTCACAGTGGCTATCGTTACGGCAGTCGACCGTCTGTGGTGATTTCCGACCTGTCAATATAACCAGACTATTCTCGGAAAGAATTCCATACCCAGACATCACTTGACCTCCCTTGCAAAAATTCTAGAGACGGCTCTGAAAAAAATCTGAAGTGTTTTCTCAAAAGCTTTGTTCAATAATTTTCCTGCTAAAGACTTTGGCCATGTTGCATGGCTAATATTATTAATTAAAAAAAGTGATAGGCATAGGCCTAGGTCACTGTAGAAAAAAATTAGTGATGACCATGTGTGGAATTGTTTCCTCTATCCTCCCTTTTAAAAAAAATTAGTTTATAAAAAATACAAAAATCCTCCAAAGCCACGGGATAAATCTAGGACATGTCTAGTAAAACTTAAGTAGAGGGCATAGCCTACTAAAGAAAACTAGGGCCTAGGCTAGGCCTAATAAATAAATAGAACAAAAAAGAGCCAAAAGAATATAAAATTCTCACAGCACAAACTTTGATCCAGGGTTCACTATATTCAGTAAGTTCATGATTTTTTTAAAACCAACCAAGAGGCAGAGCTACCAAATCGTTCTGGTTGGAATAACAGCGATACATTTTTATAGGCCCAACATTTTGCCTGGATTTAAATTATGGCTTTGTTCAATACCTAATTAGTATAGGTTATAGGCCCTAGCAGTTGAAAATCACGTTACGGCTGCCGTAACTATAGCCACCGGTCAGAATGATTCTAGAACAGTAGACGTATAGTAACATGTACATGTAACTAGTGAATGTCGGGCATCAAGTTATGCATGACACTGTCCTTGCAAATATATGGTTTGGAATTTTAATTGACTGTGAATTAAGTGGCGAACCATTCTTTAGGCTAGGTCTACAACAGAAATATTGATGAATTTGTTTTTGGAATTAATCATGTAGTGTTTTGGATGTTTCTTTTCGGGTTTTTTTTTTTTGGGGGGGGAGGTTGGGTGAGTGTGAAGATTATGAAAATTTATCTTTCGCATTGCAATTTGTCAATTCTCTCGAGGGCTGTCCATCTACGAAAAACGTAAATTAGTATTCGATTTTTCGAAACTACATGTACGTGTTCCACCGAATATTTGATTATTTGAAACTCTCTGATTCATTTTTTATACACGCCACCTGCAACTGCTTGCAAAGCCAGTCAAAAGTGCCACACGAAGGGCGGCGATCAATATTAATTATGGACCGCTAGAGCGTTTTACCATAGGTATTTTATTTCAGTGTGAATTGGGTATTAACCTTCTAAAAGGATGGGGACAATGGACCACCTTCGATAAAAAAAAAGTGGCATCTGGCAATAAAGCGCCACAACTTTTCTTCTTTTTCCTCGAATATTCAAAACTATTTAAATATTTGGTTGATGATGAGATATTCAAATATTCAAGTATTCGGTATAGTGGAGACAGCCCTAATTCTTCCAGGATCCTGGATTATATAAGTCATTCCCTTTATGAAAAATCCTTAGGATTGTATTTATTTATTTCTAACTAGCAAATTTCCCTACATCTAAATAAGGTTTACATACAATGGCGAATGGGTCAACAAATTTTACAGGCCTGACAGGTTTTTTTTATGATATTTCCAGTTTGTACTAACTTCAAACATTAATTTGTAAACAGGGACGGAGGAACTTTACTAAGAGAAGTTCAACGACTTGAGGAAACAAATATGATGAAGAATTCCCGGAGGGAAGGAGAGGCCATTGTAATGCAATGTATGGACGAGTAAGTAGGATATACATTTTATAATACATCACCCAAAGATTCTGCCTCTGGATTGGCCGAAATCGATTCGCTTGGCAATTATCTTGTTGACCATTAACTGAGAATGTATGACATTGGTGTGTGCCTTGTGCGTGGTGTTCACAAAAACATTCAGCGGACAGGCTGATTGGAATATATTTTGAAAGCATTCATTAACTTTATTACCTCTGGAAAACTCTGTTACTGATAGTGAGATAAACATGAATATTGAATCCCATGGTCCTCATGACATTCACTTATTGTTGTTTTCATTACTCGAAAGGTTGCAACAATTAGGAAGAAGAAATGCTGGATGAAAGGTGCTGAGCAAGTACACAAATACAACCAAAAGAAAATGGCTACAGGTAAGCTAATACTTTTAACTCCAAGTCAGATTACCTCTAATTCTGCTGTGAACTGCCAAACAATTCTGTGCTAGACTGTTATAATCTAAAATCCTGATTCCATCTCTGAATATTGCTGCACATACAGTATGCTTTGTATTCCTTGAAAAATTGTATTAAGAAAAGTAGACCCAAAAAGAGTTGGGTTGGGAGGCTGTCCCTCCCAGTTTATGGGACTTAATGTGACATATGATAATATAATGAACATCAAGCCAGGTTGACATTGAACGGAGTAAGGGTAATACTTTAAGTGGCAAGCATGTTTGAAATAATAATTGTCACTGCACATTTGTACCTGTAAGGTTAATTTTTTTCATTAAAAGTGTGTTCCTTTTTTTTTGAAAAAGGGATATTTCACTTGAAACGATGAGTGTGGAAGTTATGTTTACACTGAACATTATATTGTCTGCAAAACTCAAATTTTGCAAATTTTTATCAAAAATCAAATAAGGATTTATGAAATGTTAAAGTTTTTTTTTTTTTAAACGCCTTCGTGCATCAATTAAGTTGAATGAGTATTTAAGTGTTGTCTTCGTTGTGTAAATTATGTTAATGTTTAAAGAATAAATCGCAGAGGTCTCGTCCAAACAAGAAGTCAAACATTCACTGAAAAGGGATGGAGTTTTTGGCCCCTGACAGCGCCCCCATGAAGTGCTTCAGTAGCATCATTTTCATCTGCATTGTCATCCTATACATCAAAAGGGTTCTTCCTGTCCCCAAAGACTCTCTCCCTATGCAAAGCACAAGGATTCTGCATCAAAAGCAACTGAAAACCCATGGTAATTCACAGCGAGTTTATACTCACCCTGACAAAATGTTAATTTTTACATTTTCGCCAACATTGATCATGAAACTTAAGATTGATTGTACAGTTAGGTTCGATTCAGAGTTAATTTTAGATGGA